CTATTGCTTTTTTGTATAGATCGCATATGTATATATATATATACATATGGGCGTGGTCAGTCGACATTAGAGCTCATCGGGTCCAAGAATTTTTAGACCTGGACTCGGACTCGGCTGATTAAAACTTTTTGGACTCGGATCCGGAGCCGACCTGGATCCGCTCAAATTTAATTTTTCTGGACTCGAGCCGGGTCGATCAAGATTTTCGGACCTGGACCTCATTGATTAATTTTTGATGACTCCGGACTTGAACTGTACTCTTACTCCTCTTAGTAAAATTTTCTAATCTGATTTTGATTGCCGCTCTGAAGATGCGACATGCTTTTCATTTTTTTTTCTGTTACGTGACTAGTATACGTAGGGGACTCAGTTAATATTTACTTTCAACTTAATTCATGCGTAAATTAAGTTATTGGTAATTGATATTTAAGATAAATACAAATATATTTTTCCCATAATTTGTATTTATTGTTATGTATAAATAATTTTTTTGATAGTTTACATTTAAAACTAAATAAAATGATCATACATTATATTTATTTTAAATATAAATTATGAAAAAAAAATCTTTATGTTTGTTTTAAATATAAACTACCGATAATCTATATTTATTCTAAATTGACAGGAAAATGATACCTCTAAGCATACTTTACATATTCTGTAAACGATCTGATAGAGATCCCATAATAATTAAGTTACAATTAGTTCTTACTTCTATCAATTGTTCCATATAGAAGAATGAATGTATACATTACAAAGGCTTTATATTATTTCTTCTATTCAACAACTATTCTATTATCAATAACACTGCTTTGTACTGAATCTTATACATGAAAAAATAATACACAATGAATTTTTTCTAAAGAAGAAGAAACTTGTCCACTTAATAAAAAATTATGACAAGTCAATCACATTTTATAAGCCAAACAAATGTCATACTTTTTTATAAATAAATTAAGGTTTTTTGAATAAAACGATCAAAAATTTAAAGAAACACGTAAAATATCATTATATTCATCAAAAGGTTTTTCTTCGATTCAGACTCTATGAACAAAAATTTTCAGACTCGGACTCGATGGGCTCTAGTCGACATGGTACCCCAATTTGTTTTCTTTCCATTGTCAGTTAATAACCTAACCGTATTCGGGCCAAATTATCACCCTCATCGCTAAACTACTATATTTAACATATTAGCCGCTGATGGCTGGATGTGGGTGTACGTGTTATTATAATCACTCACACCCACACCCAGATTTCGTCTCTTATAGACTTTTCTCGATTATTAGTTTGTATTCCGTTTGGGGTCTCATTTTTATCAAAGAAATTAGAACTTCGTCTACTTCATTATTCATAGAGCGCATCGATTTAAATATTGTGTTTATTGATTTAAAGAATAAATTAATAGTCACTTCTGATTTTACAATGATACTGTCAAACATCTGCCACTCTATGAAGAGAGTTTTTTTTTAAAAAGTGGTCAAAGAAGGTGTTTTTTATTTTCCTCTCAACTATAATGTTTGATATAGGGGTGTACCAATTCCAATTAGTTTCAAGAATTGAATTTGTTACATTGCTCATCCAACCGAAACAGCTTATAATTATCTGTTTAACGTCTCCTTATAAGATTAGTGGGCTTATTTGTAAGCGAAGGTCTATTTGATCTATGATTTTTATCATTTCGAGAGTATATCATTTGAATTCATTAGTATCAGTTGACAGTTAATAATCCATGTGTTGCTATCATTCAATCCCAGCAAATGATAAAAAAAACCATTTCTTGGAATATACTGCTCATAGATCAACAGTCAATTTTTTTTTGGACTGCTATTACTTAACCATTCGCAAAACATCATTCAAAAAAAAAGTGCGATACAAAATTAAAAGGAAAAAGCATTTGAACAGTCCGAATGATTTTATATATTATAAATACATACGTAATCGTTGAAGATACTGTTGTCTTTTTGTTCATTGTTTTGAATGAAACTAGAGAAGGCCACTTATTGAGTTGTCGTCAACAAATACTTAACAAAGTATCAGAGAACCTAAGACGATTCAAGGTAATTTATACGAAAAACTATGAGAAAATTGAAGCAGATAAGATTGTCTGAAGTATTGTTTCTTGTGCAAATGTGACTATAGTACTTTGATTTTTATATTTATCTAGATAAATAGTTATTCTTAACGTTATTTCAAACGTATGACTTGCGAAAAAATGTCTCTAGCTTACTCTCTTTCTTTGCTATAACTAGTTATCTCTTTAAATGAGAATACACACGTATTTCGATGAGATAGTGAATACCATAGAAGAATATTTTGTTTGCCAGCCACAAATTGGACCCTTGATTTGGTTACTGATAACATGTAATACAAAGTACTGTCTTCGCTTATAAAATATTGGGAGTGCTACTTCTTTCTTTTCTCTCATTCTTTATTGTTCCTTCTTCACAAAACAAAACGCCATATCTCTGTATAGAAAGAAACAAAACAGAAACAATTGTATTCGATAATTATATGTGTCAGATTCATAAAGATTAAGTTGACTATCGAGAACAACCCAATAAATTTGGCTCAATAAATCGGTATTTTGACCGGATACCTTTGAGACATTAGCAATTGTTCTTCCAAAGGATGTTCCTGCAGGAAAAAATTGAATACGATGGTTAATTGAATCAGTCACATATATGTTTCTCATAAGATCGACTGTTAAACCTATTGGCTCGTTAAACAATATTGCATTACTTCCACTAAGACTAATTGAACTATCGGCTACAAGTGTCCAATTAGAATCATTTAGAGTTCATCTTACTACTGTAAATATATAGCGATTCGAAATGAAAAGACAATGTGCATATTTATCAAGATAAAGACCATGATGCGAACACACTTGTGAGGTACCTAAACTAGATCCAGTTTCTCCAGCAAATATTGTGCCATTTAATGCTCCATATGAATATTTCATCACACGTTGATTCGCAGGATTTCCTATGTAAAGATCACCAGTGTGTAAATCATATGCAATACCAGATGACCAAAAAAGTAGATTAGTTGCATTTTCATATGATCTTTTGAATATTGAATATGAAAAGATATATTTTCAAAAAGAAAAAATCAAATTTATCTGTTAGACCCGCAACAGTTGTGCCTGACAAATTGCCTTTCTATTGATAATCATTGTTGAGAAATAAAATAACATTTTTTCATTGTTTGTCAAATACGAATAATAATATATTTCGAAAACCATGCAGATAATTCAATAATCCTAATGATCTTTTTCAATAAAAATATCAACAATCAAATTAATGAATCAATTGATTGATATTGAAGAATCTTTCGATTAGAATTAATTAAAATATGAACATCTATGTCATAGTGATCATCTGATAGTATAAAATGAATCTTAATTCAACAAATAGAATAGATCTTTTCATAAAAGAAGATTATTCTTTACTTTTGCAGTTCTTCTAGTAAATATGATTATTTGATCAAATTGTCACATCAAGCTATTTTATCAAAGAAAGATGATCAAATTAATGAAGAATTTCTTATGAATAGAACTTTTGATTCTCTATATAATCAAGATGTTGACCATAAATTGTTTTATTTTGAAGAAAATTAGTATTAGCAAATAATTACATAATTTCAATTAATTGAGTTTGAGTATGATCTGTTAGAAATCCAATCTTCGAAGAAAGAACTTCTACAACTAAATTGATTTTCATTAGAATTAAATAAAAAATCGTCTGATTGTGAATTCTTATTTGAATGAAAATATTCATCAGTTAGAAATGTATCAGTTGATCTATTTGAACAATACATTTTATATTCATTTGAATTTAATTCTCAACGACCAAAAATTATGAATTGATATTCAATAGATTTTTTATTATTAAATTACTTTGAGAACATAAAATAATCCAATCATCAATTTGTTAAATAGAATTATTCAATGGATACACTTCAAATTGGGTTATTAGAGTAATATTTATATTTATTTGAGTTATATTAATAAAATGAAGATTAAATTGATGATTATTTATCAATAGATACTAGCATTTTGTTCACGAAATCATTGAACAAGATCTGTTAAAATAAATGAACCTATGATTTGGTTATGTCACCATATCGATGAAATCAATCATAATCATAAGTGGCTGTAATTTTATCTCATTTTTCTCGGCATAATCTATCATGATTAAGTTTAGAAATTAGAAAAAAGAAATTAAGAAATTGTTTTCAATATAAACATATTGAGATGAAACAGTGCTTCCAAAGAACATAATGTAATCATTCGATTTCGTTTAAATTGTCTGGTATGATTATTTCATCCAGTATTTTTGGAACACGTGAAAATATTGATGCTCGTCGTCGATATGCTGTTGATATAATATTTTTTCGACTCCGCATATATATCTTCCTATACTTTTCTCACTTCCAATATTCTTTCGGATATCGTTTGATCAAATCTTTATCAATCATTATAGATATTTCACATGCTTTTTTTTACAGTAATTCCATAATTCAGAATCATCTTTATCCATACATCGTTTACGATACTTTTAATCTTGGAAAATAATTGTTTTCTCAATTATTAATTCCATAAATTATCGATAAGTTTAATAGAGAAAAAACAAACAAACAAAAAGTGCAATCTACAAGTTACAGGTCAATTTTGATAAAACGAAATATCCACTGAATATCTATAATTAATTAACTAATTAAAAACTCCCGTTTTCACACTAATTTATCTCACAATAATCATTTATTTATTCTATTTATCTAAAATTCAGTTTCTTTTCTGTTTTTTTTTTTCTAATATTCTTTATGTTCACAACTGAGAAGATATTCTTCAGCTGATGATAGTCATAGAAAAAGAATTAGAAAGTTCTATTAAACTGCAGAATAAATAATGTATGTTATTAGCAAGATTTTATTATTTCTTTTTAAATTGAAATTCTTTAATAAATAATCTTAGCAGTTGAAGTAAAAAAGAAATGAAGAACTTATTGATTGAAGCATGTATTGACATCCATTGGAAAATCATATTCTGAATCTTGAATTTCATTTAAATTCCAATTTGTAAATCTATTCGTTAAATCCATGGTCAATTGTCCAGTTTTACTATTATATATTTTTGACGTGTGTTTAATTGGTGTCATATTATTTTTTTTGATATATAAGGTATTTTTGAGGATTATTTCGGCAGCGGGATTATTATATTCTCTTGACCATGTTAAACATTCTCCATCACAATCTGTGTCGAAAATAATTTCATCATATTTTTTATTTTCTCCACCAAATGTTTCAACTAAATTTGACCAATGATCGATATAATCAAATGGTGAACCTTTCGTTGCAGTACAACTAGCTGGAGACTTATAAAATTTAAATGAATAAGTTATATCATGATTAGGTATATAAATATCTTGACTAATAAGTTTTGATTCATTATTTTCATATGAATATCCTTTGCGAGATGCTTTATCTAAATTTCTATCAATAGAATAATGTTCTTGAAAATAACCATCTCTTGTTGTAGTAAGTTGATATCGTTTTGGATTTGGAATTTGACTACAAGTTAAATTGATCAAAGATAAAATTAATAATACAATTGAAATATTCATCATTGATCGAATTAATTAACAATCGTTTATTTCTTTTCAACTATATATACTCATGAAAAAAAATGGTTTTAAAAGGATTAGATAATAATTATTTTTAGACTATTCTCCTTCATATCAAATAACAAATGAAATTTATCATGATCAGTCAAGTCGGAGGCGATACATATAACGACTAGCAAAAAATCAGGATTTTTATTATGGTATTTGTTTAATTCATCAAATCAAAGGATGAGATATTCGTTTTCAGTCGATTTTTTATTTTATTCAATTATTTTAACGAACTAAACAATAAATTCTTCATTCGAAATTTAATCTAGAAGTTGATTTAAAAAAAGTATTCTTCTATTGATTGAAAACATTCATTTGTGTTCTTAATTTTTTCATATATAATCGATTATGAACAGTATATTCAATAGAAGTTTAAACATTTGTATTATGTTTTCTTCATCAAATTCATCAATAATATTTGACTAATGATTGATCTGATATGTACTCATGAAAAGAATGCTTTATCATCCTATAAAATACATTTATAAAAATGTAAGTTGTCATGACTAATATTAATCTTTTAAATTGAATTGATATTATATTTCAAATGAAAATATTATTTTCAGTTTTTTCCACAAGAATATTTTTGACGACCAATCTTCGATAACTAATGGATTAAAATGAGATTGGTTTGGATCGCAGCTGATATTGAACTGATCAACTGAGACATTCAAATGGGTATGATATGTACCAAAAGGTAGATGAGAACTGTTGTTCTACATATTACAATATTCCACGCGATCGAGACACCTGAAAATCTTTTAAAGCATGCGTATCGTGTCTTCAGTAATTGTCCAAAACTACAACTCAAAATTTCACTAATATGTTATTACATCAAGAATGTTGATTTATACTTTTATATTCACAAACAGAAGAGCATGCAAACACAAAAAAATCATTAAATCGAAAATTTCAGTTGCCTGATTACTCTTTGAATAGATATGTTCGAAGCATTGGAAGTGTCTGTATGACATTATAAGCATAACTTTCACATTCTTTTTGTGAAAAATTTGTAAACTCATGGACTGACGAAAATTTCTAATGGCTCCGACAGATCAAAAAGTGTATAAAATGCACATTAAAGACTAGTCCAAAAGCTAGTACTCAATAGCAAAGCTTTTTGAGTAGCGGAGATTCTCGAGCACGTTGTGGATTGTCGCTTAATCACTTAATTGTAGAATTTTTACATATAGAGATACATCGATTAAAAATTGTCTCGTATAAACCATGAAGAGAAGTATCGGGGTGTGCGTGTGAGTGTGGATGTGGGTGTATATAAAAAGAAGGCCAACACCCACACCCATACCCTATGTAGAGTAGTGTCCAAGAATCGAAATGAAAAAGACGGAATGTTCGAAATTCAATTTACCAGAAGATCGTAACTCATTTATTCTAATATTCGTAACGGTCATAAAGACTTTTCTTTCTTTTTTTTTAAAATAAAATCAAGAACGATTCATTCAATACCTTCGTAATTATATAAACAACATCTACCTTTCTCTGCCTCCACTCATAACGCTATAATAGGTGTACAAGATGTTTGTGACTTTTATGCTTTAATCTATTTACAATATTGATAATAGAGAACAATAATCTCTGGAGAAATGAAGTGCTATATAATTAGAAAAGTCTCTACATTCGAAATTATTGGCTAGACGAATGAGTATGTCAGGGTAATTTCTTCTGTTTACAGACTCTCACCCATGCTCATACTCCACATCCTCATCCGTAGTTTGTGTACTATCTTAGAATAAAAACAAGTAAATTGCTTAGCATATCTTAGAAAACAGCAAACATGAACGCATTTTCGAACAGCCTGTTTTTATTGTTACGATCTTCCATCATTGTCACTCTAAACTCTAGTCAAATTTCACGATTTTTTTTCTCTAAAAATCAATATTTGCTGTTCGTTACGATCTTCTGAACAACTTTCATTATGAACACCTTGTTATTTTTTATTTTTGATTGATTTTTATCATTCCAAACTCCCGTACCCTTAATTCCGAACATCCTGTCTTTTTTCTTCTGTTCGAAGATCGTAATAAAAAGTTGGTGCAAAATGTCCCTTTCCCGTTGCATTCATATCCTCTAGACTATAAATATTTCATTTCCAGACTTCTTGGTTTCTATATTTTCGTTGTGAGATGGTTACAGGGATGACAGTACGGCAATCTGTAATGAGATCTGTGAAGTACTTCGCTCGGTTTTGCGAATAGAGCCAAGGTGATATAACGAAGAATGGCATCACCCCATCGATACTTGAATATTCCATTACTTGAATCGACATTGTTGATCCAAGATCGTACATTTTTGTTGCGGAAAAAAGAAAGTTTCATTGATTCAAAATTATTGTTATAACCCGGAACTGCATTTTCTCTACTCAGTGCATGTTTCAATCTGATCGGATCCTGTACAGATACTTTGGCTGATTGTTGATAGTTGATTGTTAGATTTTTCAGATTCATGGTTCCGGGTACCACACTTTCGTATTCATATCTTTCTTCATTTGCAAAATAAACAGCATTTTTTGACTTCATTATGTCGAATACATTCGGCCAAGTTCCCAGAATTCTTGAATCGTCATCTAAACGCATTAAATATTCAATACCTTCTAGTTCTGGCAACTCGAAAATTAATTTGAACCAGAATCTAATCATATTGTGATAGTTCCATTTACCTCGTTTCCGAAAGGTTGGTTCGGTCAGATAAGGATCAAAGCCACGTGAAAACGAATAAAAGATATGATCAATATTGAAAAAGAATACCTGTCGCTGTGTTGCATTATTGATTAGTGCGAAATCCTTCCTGAACGGATATCCCGTGTGGAATACAATGATAATAGACGTTTTATTATCTTGAAATCTATTATCGAGTTGGACTAATTGAGACGATACTGCTGTATAGTTGCCAGCGACAAGAAAACAGATTGCATTCTTTCGATATAACGGGAACTGAGAACGAGGATACGTTCGAATCAGAGATGAATCTGCGTCCATATGTTTTTCAGAAACACGAATAGTGATCGAGTATAATTTTAATGAATGAAGCCAATATAGTACATATCCGATGAGAAAAAAGAAAGAAAAATAGAAAACTTTTTTATTCCATATATTAATGATGAAGTTTGTCGGGTGCTCTAGAATGGTGAAAAACATTGTAACGAAAAATTGAGAATAAGCGGAGGATACGATGCAGAAAGATTGGTGACTGCGTTGTTGGATCACGTATTTGAAGGAGTTGCGTTGTTCAATATTTTTTCAATCTCACTTCCGTTACTGGTTTTGCGCGATTTTATTTCTCTCTCAATACTAACACACATTATATATCATTACATCCATCCATATGACTTTTACATCAACTATATATACCATCCAGCAACGATGTGTGACCTCGAGTGTGTTGTATACGTCACACTGCGCGATATCCATTGAGAATATTCTTCACTGTTCTCTTCTCTCTCCTTCTCAACGATTTATCTTTGCATCTGTTTGATGCGGTAATCTTTCGAAGTGAAAAGAGAACAATGAGCATATATGCAATGAATAGCGCAACGATTACAAAGGTATTGAACACTATGAACGGTTTTACGTAAGGATACAAGGTTGACATCACATAAGGATGGTATTATACACGAACGATATGAAGCAAGAATGAAATAACGTAAGGATGATGTCACATACTGGTGACAGCATATCACATCGGTTTATCTCTTGGTACAAACATGTGTGGAAAAAAGAGTGTGAGTGTGGGAGTGGGGGGGGGGGGGGGGGGGATAAAAAAAAAAAAAGCACCTGCAGCCACACTCACCCCCCCAAAAAATACAGCTCTTTTCGTGGAAAGAATGTATAAAATAATATTGTTAACAAAACATGGACAGTTATTATGAAACAACCATCATATTCTTCTTCTCTTATTCACTACAATCATTTACTTCTAAATACTTATAACAACCGTGCTGCATGCCAAATTAGCCGCTTTCAATAGTAAATAAGATCGAGCTTAGGTCAATATTTGCCAAGGGGTAAGTGCTACACCATCGCACCAAATTTTCATTGGAGGTGCTGAAATGGTGCTGAGGTGCTGCGGGTTCCAAACCTGCACTTTTACCCTTGATTTGCTGAATATTATCAAGAACAATTACGACGTGAAAAAACATTAAAACGTAAAGAATCTATTGATCGTGCAAAACAAAATGGATCAACTATTTTCATTGAATGACAAATTATATCAAATTCAAATTTATCTACTGGTGATGTAAATGTACATCGTATAAGTCCTATGAAATATATGTCGAGGCTTGTACATACAAGTAATGAATCATTACACGGTTCAGCATGTTATGAAAAGAAAACACCATTATTATCATCGAAACAAATTCCACATGCAATTGATCTTTTTTTCTGATAAGAATCAAAATAGAAAACAATAAGATGAAGGTGCTAAAGAAGCATTACTTACTAACAAAATATTCCAGTTGATGATGAGCAGAAAAATACTCTATCAAAAAGTTAAATAAAAGCTCTATTCTTATTTAATTATTTCTGTAAGAAAAAAATGTATATTGATAGAAAATGGTTTCTTCTTTTACTTTTAATGTATTGTGTTTGATTTTAAATATACATTGAATGTTAAAAAATAAAATATATGATATTTTATGACTATCCAGTTTTTCTTTTCTTTGGATAACTTTTCAATTAGTTTTTCAATACAATCTTTTTTCTTTGCGTTTTTTCAAAAAGTGGTGACAAAACAAAACTTCGAAAAAGAGTTGAGAGCAATGTATATCTTAATTGACATCTTTGATTTTTCAGTTCATAATGCAGTTCTCAAGAAGAATGATAGAATACTTCTGTTAATTAACAGATGAACTAGAATGAATAATAATATATCTCAGTGTTCGATTCCTTCTCAATTTCCACGCGCATATGAAACAATGAATCATGTTCAGATTGATG